GATGATACTATTAACTGAATATAGTACAATCATGTTAGAAGAATGCAGTCGTTCTATAGATTTCATAAACACATCAAAATATAATAAGCAAATGTATTTTATATCAGTGTCAAAATCTTGTTTGTAAATTATCCAAGGCAAAGCCTGGTTCTGTATACTACCAGCAACATTTTCACTAAGAAGAAAGAGACAGATGTGAATCTCGGATGATCTCTATAACCGTTTTCTACGAGAACTGTTATTTTTTGTCCAATACAAATAGTTTTTAACACACTGCAATCATAGGCTGGGAAGGACAGAGATTATCAAAAGACATCTAGCTGAGGACGCACAGGTGTAGCACGGAAGTATGACGTTTTGACATACAGATTAATGAGATTTCATACCTGAAATATGCTTTACGGGTGACACATTCAGAAAACATGATTTGGCGGCGTTTTCCTTGGCATATAAAGAGAAACTCTGTTGCCTCACTTCCGACAATGACCTAAAACAAAGAAGATCATGTCTATCATTGCTTCAGTTTGTATTAACTTTTCTCAAGTCCCACGTCAGTAACAGCAGTCCCTGATCACGTTTTAGTATAATGTCGAAATATGAACAGACAGTTGACATTGTCCTACGTCGGAAGTTCACGTAAATCACGACTTAATTCGTGCTTAGTTAATTACAGCCCTAAAATTAAACTTCCACCTTTTGCTTTCTCGGATACAAGAAGCGTGTGTACAAACGATTCTAAATTATGATCAGTAACGTGACTGTTCGAACCTGCTGTCCCACAAAGCCGCCCGCAACCTCAGCCCAATCAAACTCAACCTCCTGGACGCCGCCATGTTTGTTTTGAAACTTAGGACCCACTCAGTTTTCTGTCTTTACACCTCCTGATACTTAAAAAAACGGATGTGATGTCTTTTGCTAAATTGAACACGGAACTGAGTTTCCTTTTTTGTTTTTTGAATTCATGATTATTGTTGCATTATATTTAATTTGTGGCCATTAATTTATATAATAATAA